GTCTGGCTATACAAGCTGATTCATTACTGTTGATTGGGATATTACAAGGGCGGCTACATTGCCCCTGGCACATTAAGAGAGAGGTGGAGCAAATATTGAGCCTGGCGGGGGAACGTCCTATTTTCATGCACTGTTATAGGGAATCGAACAAGGTTGCTGACATCTTGTCCAATGAGGGGGTTTCTCACCCGCTAGAAGAGGTTAGGATTTATGACAGTTGGTACATTATTCCGTTGCTGGCCAGGGGGGAAATTAGGCTTAACAGATTAGGAGTACCTTCCATTAGAAGAATAAAGGGAACTAGGGATTTGGTGTGAAAAACATGGGCATTGCCCTGTAAGCGACGTAAAAGGTTGTGATGTTACGTTTTTATGAATAAAAAAAAAAAAAAAAGATTTGGTTGACAAGAATAACTTGGGCGATGTTCTAGAGGCTAAACACGATGCAGTCTTGACCAAATCACTGATAGTAAATTATTGAATGAGTATAATGCAATATGGATTACAATTTTTTTTTTCAAAATTATTATAAAAATTAAGCTAAGAAATATGAGTATGCTAAACTATTCATATGAAAATTGTATGTAAATAATATAAATCTATCTAAAAGTTATGAAATTAAAAACAATGACAATTTTACTATAATATTCGGATATTACATATGCTGCATTAATATCAGTTTTGATTATTCGTAAGAAATATGAAAAGTGATTAAAAGAAAATAAGGGAGTCATAAATGTTAGTGAAGTGAGTTAAAGTTCTTTATTTTCTTTTTCTTTATTTAAAGTATGCGTAATAACTGCCAAGTACTAAGGAGTGACAAAAAATCCTAGATCTATTTATGAATATTTGTATTATAAATTTTTGGTAAATTATGTCCTGCAGCTAATTAATGATGACCGACGGTCTAGCAATGGAAAATAAATCCCACTTTCCCATTGCGGCACATGAAATCTGAATATGACCCTTTCAATCTATGTCAGCTACTCTGGAGGCTGCATGCATGTACCAACCACTAAGCAAATTGTCGGGAAATTCAAGATTTCTGTCTGCATTGTGTTGCGCCATAATAGTGAATTCGTCTCACAATTAAATTTTGATTTTGACACGTTTAAATTTCTAAGATTGGATCTGTCTCAATTGAAGTACAAATAATGCAGTCTTGATAGATCCAGTCTCGAACTATTTGTATACCCTTATAATATATCAAGTTTATTATAAGTTGAAATTCCGTAAATTAGAAATACTAGATTCAAATCCCACTATCCCCTCCTTGCTTCTTATGTCTCACTTTTCTTTTGCTTGAAAAAATTGAAAAAAAAAATTATTATAGCTATGAATTTTTTGACTACTTAATAGAAAAATATCACACATGTATTTCAATGGGTTTCTCAATCTTTAATTATTAGTACAACGTACTTCACGTCGTATATGGAACTGTGGCCATGATATGGTGGAAGCTTAGGATCACAGTTCAATTATTGTTTGGAATAAAAAAGGGCACTTAGTTACAATATTTTGTTTGGCCAGATTCCAGAAGAGTATTTTCAGTCCTTAGACGTAATAATGGGTAAAGTTGAGTTCTTCCGAAAAGAAGAATGAATCTAGTTCAGTTGTGCCCTCAAAAAAAGAAATAAAGAAAATCTAGTTCAGTTGTCTCAATAAAAGTTGACTGCCTCCCTTCATCTACTAATATCAAACGGCATGGTTGCGTTAACTGCATAAATTTACTTCAAAGCAACCAAAAGGGAAAAATGTATTTTTAGACACATTACACCTTAGGGTCAGTTTGGTTGGAAGTAAAATATTTTCCTTGGGAAAATATTTTCCGTGGAAGTAATTTTCCATGAAAATCATTTCCCTTTCATCATTTTCAGGTGTTTGGTTAGGTTATTGAAAATATTTTCTTACTTCATTTTTTTGGTGTTTGTTTAACTTTTGAAATATTTTCACTTTTATCTCTATTTTTATTCTCTATACATTATAACTACATACTTCTTCCCATGCAAAATAAGAAAATTTATCTCATTATTTAATTTTAAAAAATCTTGGAGAAATGTATATATGAATAAAAAATATCTCCTTAAGTAACAAACAAATTGCTGGCCATTTAGTGTCAAATATCAATCACATACAATGCTTATTGTGACATATATCTTGCACTCTCACTGCTGAAAGTTTCTCTAGAAAAGAATGTCCCTATTATACATAATTAATTACTAGCATAGGATGAGCATGATGAGGTTTCTTTTTTATTTTGAATATACTAGGGGGAGGGTTGGGTTGGGTGGTACGGGGGAGGGAGTGTAAGGAAGAGGTTTTGGGTTCGAGTTCTCCTATTTACACTAAAAAAAAAAGAACATACTACAAAATGTTTTCAGTAAGTTTGGAATATACTACAGGAGGGATGCATGCATTTCGGAAAACAACTTCAGTAAGTTTGGAAGGGAAGTTGATTTCCATAAGATGAGTGAAAATATTTTACATAGGAAAATATTTTCAGTAACTTTTGTGCAACCAAACACGGGAAATTAGGAACATATTTTCCTGGAAAACATTTTCACCCAAAACAAACGGACCCTTAATCTTTCAGATTTGTCCTACGTAAGTCAGATTGATAATGTCTTTAGCAAAATTAATGGAATAGAGGATCGTGTGAATCAATAATAATATGCGAAAGTGGTCAAAAAGAGCAAAATAATCATAGTTAGAATAAAATGATGCATTATCATTATTGGCACAATTCTTTAATGATATTATCTATTAGACTTAAGTGGGATGAATACAAATTATTACTGTGAAAAGTGTTCAAAATTAAAATTTAGAGTGCAAGGTGAGAATGGTGTATAAGTCCACGAATGCAAAATAAATTTAGTGCTACAAAGAAAAAGAACGATTTTGTAGCTTAAATAATGGCCATCAATGTCATACTATAGAATCTGGCCAAGTCTAAATTTAAAATCATAATATACAAGATATCTAAAAATAGTGGTGCAACCAGGATCTATAATCAATGAAGTCAGTATTGCACACATAAAATACATCGTTTTTAGGCAAAGATATATTTGACTTAAACTATGTCTCTTTTTTTTTTTAAATGAGTTTCGCTTTTGCTGTATAATGTTTAAAGTTATAGTTTCTTATTCAAGGAGTCTTCAATTTTGTGTTTTAATAACTCTAAGACAATTGTAGCATAGGAGAGAAATCTAAAAAAAATTGTTGTTCAGGGAGGTAATGTAAGGCAAAATGAGGAGTTCTTACAATATAACGGGTTAACATTAGCAGAAAAACGTAATTTTCAAAATTAAGCATAACAATTATGAGAAAAAATTAAAATACTTCAAAAATTAACATTAACAGAAAAACGTAATTTTCAAAATTAAGCATAACAATTATGAGACAAAAATTAAAATTCTTCAAAAGTTTCAAGCATATTCTTTAAATTTTTCCAAAGTTTTAGGGGATGCAAATGTGCAATTGCTCACCTTCAACAACCCTAGGCTCTGCCCCCGTCCAAGATGCCTTCCTGGAATGCACTTACTTGAGAGGATTGGAACATATGATGAATGTTTAGGTGAGGATGCAGGAATTGATCAAAAAAATGGTCGCCTTGTTGACATGGTCTTGTTCCCATTCAAGTGGAAGTGCAGGCATGAAATTGCTTGATTAGGATCTGAAGACAAGCTCATTCAAGTAAATGTACGATGCATTGAATGCATCTAGCCAAGCTCACTGGTGCTTGCAAAGTGAATTGCAAAGTGAAGAGAAATGAACGTGTGAAAGCTGGAAAGTCGATAACCTTTTGTGTTTTCAGACGTTGATGTCACATCTATAGAGTCTTGGTCAAGTATGAAAGAGAGAATAATTATAACCACATATGCTTTCCTGATCAGGGATAGAACACAGGGTGTATTGAAAAGGCTGTTGGATTGTTTGCATGGTTCAAGTGGATGTGCAAGAATAAAGTTGCATGATCAGGAAATGATTCAGGATGAGAATTTTCTCCATTTGAAAGGATGGTTACTTCTTTAGTTGCACTCTAATGTATTTGATTCGTTTCATAGTTCATTTAAGTCATTTGAGACGATTGAAAATTAATTTTTACGACGTTTCTGTTTGTTTAGATATGTGAAGTTTGGTCATAATTGCTTTCCCTTTTAGTCTAATTGCGTGACAAGGTTTGCCAAAAGAATATGACTTTTTTGCATGTCAATTGACCTAATCATCCAAAGGTCTTGTAATAGTTATGAGATTATTTATTTATTAATTTTAATAACAACGTCTGTAAAACATAAACCGATCATCAGGAAAGGATATAGCCAAAGCCAATGTATCATCTTTGATTGGAAAGAGTTCTGCGCAAGAGTCAAGACTTGGAAGCAAGACTTGAATATATGTATATTTAGGAGGTAGGTCCATACATTTTCTACAATTTAAATAAGGACTTGGATGTGAATTTTAAATTTTTCCATAGAAATGAGTAGAAAAAATTTGAGCCAATTGGTAAATTCCGGGAAGAAAGCTTTTCTCCCTTTGTACAGAATAAAGAAAGTAAAGCATTTAAGCCACTTTTCTGAAAGTCACCGTTGCCTTGGAATAAGTTGTAAAACGTGTTGTTACCAACAAAAAAGAAGAAAAAAGTTGTAAAACGTGTAACACAATTTTTTTTTTGAAGTGATAACATCGGCATAAAATTTATATCTTAATTAGAATACCGTTTAATGCAGAGTCTAACAGTTAGTTATTCTGATAATTCATAAAACAAAATGAAAATAACTTGAAGTTCTTGACAAATGTATGAATGATTATATCTTGGTACAGTTAACCTATTTTGTTACTCGTGCTTGAATGGTGATATCAACCATATTAACACAAGAATTAAATGTCTTTTATTAAAGTTGAAATAGAAGGAACTCAAGTGGGATGCGTGCAAGATCAAACAGGAATTGGTCCAGAAATGTCGAAATTAACAATTAATACTCCGTCTAAAGTGGAACCAAGTAGCTAGAAGAATAAGACAGCTCTTAAATGACCGATTTGCATTGACACAATCGACAGGAACATAGGTACAGGTAGGGTTGAAATTCTCTTTCCAGGAACATCAACAAATTCAACTCTAGTTGAAATTCAGACATTAGTTTTCTGTACCAGAAATACAAAGTAGAAAAAAAAATTATTAAAATAAAGGTTGCAGTATGCACAGTCAATTATTTCAAGAATCCCAGATTGGGCCGAAGGCAGGAATTCCAGCACCTTTGCATGCATTGACGACATCCCTACTTCCCTCTGGATTGCTAGTAACGATGACAACTTCAGCACCCCATTTCTTGGCAGTATCAACACTCATTTGGGAAACATTTGGACGTCCAAGGAGAGCTGTATCATGAACTATCACCTTATCCCTCGGGTGTCCACTCATCCAGGTCTTAATTTCCTTGCCAAAATTTTGCTCAACACCTTTGGTCACCCAAAGAAAGCAAACGTTGGCTCTACATGGCTGCAGAAGGAATGACAAAAACACACAGATGCCCGAGCCAGTTGCCACCACCAAGACCCTATCGTACATGTTCACCAGATAAGGAAGGCCTGCAAAGTGCACCTGTCGCACCCATAAGTGGCTTGGCGGGTCAGAGACTAAGGACTTTGTGAAGTCACCAACTGCACCTGCCAACATCATGTGCTCATTCTTCCCATCAGAGATTATGCCGAAGGCATGCCACTCTGAGAATGGAGATGGGCTAATTCTTCCAAGTATTCCGGCTTTGATACCACCCTGGAACTTGATAATGGATGCATGGCCTGAAGGGGACGAGATTTTGACTGGGACACGTCTCACTGTTATCCATGGGATGATAATTAGTACGGTAATGGCCACTGTAAACCAGAACTCCTGATGTTTAACCAGTTCGGAGCCGATATCGCTCCTGTAGGATTTAGTCTTGGGGTCATAAGAGATAGTGAGGATCACAAAGGCCCAAAGGAGAGCCAGAGCTGACCACCCTGCAAAACGATGAGTTCTCTCGAATACGTTGTGATGGAGGTGGCGAATGAGAGGAAATGCTGCCAAAGCAGACAGGCAAATAAGTGCAAGAATGGTGGATGCCACGCCAATTATCTCAGATGAAGTGCTTTCTCTGTCTTTGAGAGTGAGAACCAAAGCATAAATGAGCCATGCAATTGAGGAGATGCCACAACTGCTATGAATCCCTCCAAGGGATTGAAGGAGGGAAGTAATCATAGTTTTGATTCGAATAGGCACCCAAGAATGGCCAAAAACTTTCACTACGAGCCAGAATACGATCCTCAAGAAGGCCTCACTTCGACAGAGAGTCAAAGCAAATATGTTTGCGATAGCGAATAATGCAGCCTTGTTCCTGGCATATGGGAAGTGTCCGGTGGCAGCAAGAACCAAACCGGTGATGTTGAGTGTCAAGCAAACAACAAAAAGCCGCTTGTAAACTGTGAACAACCCTTGATCAAGCAGTATAACAGATAACCTGTTGGGGTTTGGTTTTGCTGCCGGCTTCGGCTTTTCTTCACGTTTACTGGCGGCTGGTGGAAGAAGAGGCGCTGGTGACATTGAGGGCTTGAATTTCTCATTGTCATGATGAGCTTCAAGGCCTTCTTCAATATCAGCCAAAGTATCTCTATCTTCATCGTCATCAAGGTCCAGGTCACAGAAATGGCTGCTGGTTTTGCTCATAGACCTCTGTATAAGGTCTCCAGCATCAGGTACAATCTTTGAATCGGTTCCCCATGGAAACCAAATTCTTTTGCTTGAAGAATTTGTTGGGATAGCAAATGGATCTGCATGAGGTTTGATCTCAAAAGCTACGCCTCGGCAGCTTGAAAACCTCCCAATCTTTTCACTCTGCATGTTGAAGTTTTCGCTGCCTAAAAACAATGCTAGTTTTTTTAAGCGTTTAACGCAGTTGTTAAGCTAGGATATTTGCGTTAAAGCTTGTGCTCTGACTGGGGGATGTTTGCCTATTTATAGCCCTCTTGAGCTCCAGAGCTGACTTTCTTGGATATAAGGATTTTTTATTATGTTTAGAAGTAACACATGAATATGACTTAGTCAAGGATACACGCGTTTGCGTTGTAATGAAAAGTTGACTTGTTATTTATTGCATTTAATTAAAAATCAATTTCTCTTTCACTAACATCCAATAATCTTGGTTCAAGTAATCGAAGAAAAGTTGGAGCAATTGTAATACTAGTTTTTCATTCTTTCAAGTTAAAACAACGTTCTGCAATTTGTGGCATTTGATACCTGATTATGTATCTCTAATGGTACTCAATTTATGCAAATTAAATCTGAAGGGTCTTCAACTTCATTGGACACTCAATTTCTTTCGAACTTATAGCAATCTTGATGTTAACTTTAAGTCATGAATTGATATGTAATTGTGTTACAATATAGGGGTTACTTAAAATTTTAGTTGTTTATAGTTAGTTTAGATATTACTAGCTACTTGATACATGTGCTATCTATTCTATAAAAATTCATTTTTGGGTACATTACATCAATCCTGACTTTCATTCCTTTTGGTTCTATTCTGGTGCAGTTACTTCCTATAGATTCAACAGCTTTTCTTCTTGTAATATCCCATGCCATCCCTCACGAATTTCAGCAAAATTCCTTGCCTTGTTCTTTTCTGATCAAAGTCAATCTCCAGTCCATGAGTTGAAAAACCTCAATTGTACAACCGGTAAGAATGAAGAAACTATGCCATAAAAAAAAAAAAAAAAACTATTGATCATTTAATGTATTTTGAATCTGAATTTGGATACCACATTTTGACAGTCTTTCCAGAAATACAGAGAAAAAAGTTCAAAATAAATGGTTTGGTTGATTTGGCTGATTCAATTGTAGAAATGAAGAATCTTCTACTATATCATTTATTGGAAGGCTAGGAAGGGAGAATTGAAAATTTCCAAGTCGATGAGCTTTTTGTCATTAATAATGGTTGGGTATCATTTATTTTGAGGCAGAATTTATGCAACTTAGTTTAGTTCGTGGCAAACTGGGAAGGCAAAAAGGGCCAGCAATAAACAACAACTCAATAATATCTCTTGACTTCTATTCACATTTGTCCTTTTTTTTTTTTCTTTGGACTTATATTCACTTCATAAAGTAGGAAAAATTCCAAGTCGCCAAAACAAATTACTGGCCAAACTTGGATTGATCGTCGTGGAATATTAAAATTGACAAAGTGTTTAAAATTGGTCAATCACCGGAAAAAGTAAAAAAAAAATTTTGTACATTTTAATGTCTATTATTTTGCTTTCTGAAACGTGCAAAGTAGCATTTTTTTTTTTTTTAACAAAAAAAGCATGTAAAAAAGAAGCTTGTTGAAATACAGACTTTGAGGGTGTCTGTTCCCCTAGTTTGACAATACAGTGCAGTTTGTAGAACATATAGTTGCACTTTGTAAGTTCCAAATTTTGAACAATTACTGCCAATACATTAATTAAGTTACACTAATTAATGACGGGTTTGGATGTTGAGCGAACAACGGTTAAAACAGCCAAAAATGGGGAAATCACTTTAGAAAAATATTTAAATGCGGAGTACTAAATGTATTTGTATTCACATAACAAGTCAAAAAATTCACTAACAAAAAATTTTCCAAACCTGCCATTTATGTTCTCCTTTCCATTTGCTAGAGCAAATACGTATACATACTTTCCTTACAAAAAATAAAGGAAAAAAAAAAAACTCAAGGCATGAGAAATGAGCACCTGCATCTTTATCGGATATTCGATTGTAATTTCTTTAATGATTCAACAACAGAAACCGGAGCGGGTGGGGAATTCATGGCCTACCGCCAAAGAAGGCAATATGAACTGCATTAAACGTCACTGTTTAAAAGAAAGCTAGAACAATAAGATCTTTGTAAGCACTCAAAATCAAGGAAAAAAAGAGGGAAACATTCATCACCGGTTACCGAACTATAACAAAATCCCATTGTTCATTTTTTTTTTTTATATGGCTGGTGTCAATTTATCCATTAATTAATTTTTCAATTTTTGCCATTTTGGTCATTTCGTCAATTTGCTACGGTGACTCTCTAAGATAAGTCATGCACATGATATGTATATCATGTCTCTAGAGCAATTTCTCCATTTTGCAGAAAAATACCCATGAACTTTTAAATGCACCCGGGATTTCTTGCCACCGTGTGGTGAGACACATGCAACATTTTTTTTTTCTTGGGGTGAGCGGATACGTGCAACATTAACAAATACAAATTAATCAAATAACCAAAAAATATATATTCAGAAGTAAAATAGGTGGATTGGCCCTAGAATAATTTTAGTGGGCAATCTAAACTTATCAATCTAAAAAGTTAAAAACAAAAAGAAAAAAGAAAAAAAATCCCCTTAGACCCAGTAAGTCGTTTTCATTGTTAGGTATTTCTTGCTTAATTCCCTATTTTGTCCGTCAAATATATATATATCTGAAAATGGCCAATTATTTTTGAGTTGACGGGAAGTTTTTTTTTTTTTTTTTTTTGGCTGCCTAAAATTAAAGAGACAAGAATTGGAGCCATGCAATAATTTTAGCAGTAGGGGTAGTGGCACCAGTAGGCCAAGGTCAAGCACTACTTTGCATTGACTTGGCACAAGACAAACTCTATTTGTCCGCAAGTCCATGGCAAGTCTTCGATCAATCCAACAACAAAACAATTTGAGCGAATCTATCCATCTGCATTCATGTGACTAAACACCTAAACCATAAACACGACACAACAAAGGGTTTTCACCGGCGAGTCTTACAAAAAAAACGCGTTTCAACGATTTACGCTTCTCTGACTTCTTACGAAATTGCTTCATTCTTTTCCTCAGAGTTGAGAATCTCTTTTTCTTTTGGTAGTGTAACGGGTTGCATGCATGATCTCCCCACAAAGTCTGCCATCATAGCCAAATGGACAGTTCATACCTCAGAATGCACAATTGCCAAATGGCTTACATTAATTTTTGACAAAAACTGTGGCACTTTTCTGAATAGCATTCTTCGAGAAGTGCTATATATGTTGATTATTTGGCAGTTTTTTCAACACATTTCTATGTAAAACTTGAGAAAAAAATTTCAATCCAAAAGAATGAACCTGAGAAAATATTATATGGAGACTTTTAGGCAAAGATAAGGGTACAAAATAAGAGAAGCCAGCATAGTTTCAGAAACTACAAGATTTTTTTTATTTGAACAGGAGATTATTTGAAATATTATTCAGAATAATTATGTCAACCTCAAGCGGGAATTTTTCATCTAATTATCAGTGGAATTATGAGTTTCTACTGCACAATAAGGAGCAGTGGCCAAAAGGGGGGAAACGGAAAACAACGGAGATTGCTGACCTATGTACGGCATGGGAATCTAGTCTAGTGATAATATTTTTAGTATAACCACAGACTTCAGCCTTGACTCGTAGCTGGCCTGTATAACTAATTGGTGCAGCCTACACTTCAAACTTCAATTCCTACCTCAAGAACCAATATATAGTAGCAAGGTCCATCTAATTGATGACTTACAAGTTAAATAACAATTATCCTCATTTCCTTGAATGATCTTGGCCATCTGTCACCTCAGATTTCACACCACCAATAGTACTTCAATTCGCGGAAGGTCAATGTAATTGACATAGAATTTAAATAACAATTACCTTCGTTTCCTTGAAAAATCCAGGGCATCAATCTATCACTCGACCTATCACATCACAACTAATACTTCCTCTCTTAATTAGCATGAGAAACAAGTTTAGGAAGGTCAGTGTAACATACATCTCCATTTCCTTGAATCGATCTAGGGCGTCTATCACTTTACATTTCACACCACAATAATGCATGCTCAAAATTTTAGCTCAAGAAACAGATTTTGAAAGGTCAATGTGGTTGACTTGGAATTTTAAATATTATCTTCATTTCTTTGAAAAATATAGGGCATCTATCAGATGTGGAGGGGGAAGGTCATTAGACCTCGCTTTATCAACCTGAATCTTAATTAAATGTTAGTTTCTGGTAAGATTTTTGCAATCTTATCAAAAAAGAAAAGAATAGACTTTTGCAACTTGACATGCAAATTCAGACATTTCAAGTTGAATGATAGACATGTTGTATTCATCAGTTGAGCTTTCTTTTTCCGGCTTCACGGGAGTAGAGACTTGAAGATTTCGATTCAATATTTGTTTGACAATGCAGTTGATACCACATTAATAGCGTATTGTGTTTTTTTTTTTTTTTAACTAGTGTTAGATGTGAGACATTGTCCTTATTTCATCACGACGCATTCATTACACAAATAATCAATCAGGTTTAAGGAAAAAAATTAATGCAATTTGAATTTCTTAATTAGATTTGTCAAATATTTTCCAGTCGTAATCGACCCATAATTCTAGTCTCTCAGATGATAAAGTTGAAACATTTTGCCAATTCCGATTAGAGAAGGTTGAATTTGGGTTTAGAATATATATATCTTCTTCATACATCAATGAGGAAATTTCGCTTTATCATTTTACCCGTTGGAAGAAATCAAATCTGAATGAGTTTTGTACGCGTAATTAGATGCCAGAAGTCTTTAAGTGGAATGATTCGTGTTAGTTGCTTTATCATTGATAGATATGATTATGCCATCCTTGCCAAGTTGCCCAGCGCAGATTGAAGCATCTTCCAATCTCTAACTTTTTGAGCATTTTTTTTTTTTCAAATCTAAGTACGTAAGTAAATTTTGCATGTTCTGGTAGTTGGGTTGGATTTATTATATTGTCATGTCAGTAAAAGTCTTCAAAAAATACTTTTCAGTGAAAAGGATTGTGGATTTAATTGGAAGTCTTTAGGATAAATTGTCATTTTGAGATGCTAAAGATTTCAAAACCACCATTAGAAGTGATAATTTTAATAATTAACAGGTATTAGCTTAATAATTTGCGGCAAAAATGTCCTTTTAATTTTTGAAATAACT